TTTGTCTAGGATAACCCTAAAAAAATGTCAGACGAAGTGACTTATTTTAATTGGGGTTTTCGTAATATTGAACACCCAGTTTGTTAAAGTAATGAATTCGGTTTTGAGATGAAGTAATATAACCGGTATATGCAGAGAAGAATGAGCTGTGTGAGACAGCCGTGTAAGTACAATTATCATAATGTAAATTACCAATGATAAACCAAAACAAAAAAGTCAAAGTGACTTCCTGTGTAAGAAGATAGTGAGGATGGCTGGTGTCAGTACATATACATGCTGGGACCTTCAGGATAATAAGTTACATTGACTTTACTGGATTATCCTAGGTTAAGTCTACATAACATGATACATACATGAATAATCACCTATATATTGTGGTTGCAGGGGTCGAATCACATAACCATTGTATTACAAAAAAATAAGTCTTACTGAAGATGTTAAATGAACCCACAATCACTTACAACAATTAATATAATCGAACATTGCTGTCATCTGCTTGATTATTTGTCCAGGTTAGTTTTATATAAACTAGATATAATCTACATAATTTATCACCAATGTGTCTTCAACATTGTTTACTTTGAGGACTATTGTACAAATTTATACTCTTAAATAATTGTAGGTTTCCCAAATAAAGTTAAATTATAATGTAGCTTTAGTAATAAATGAGAATTATTTGTTGTTGCAAAAACAGTTGGAATACGAGAACGAATAATGGTGTATTAATAAAATATATTAACTATGTGTTTATGTATCCTCCAGTGAAGACAGTTGCCGAGGTGTGGAAGAACAGTACTTATCAAGGATATATATAAAAAAATCTCCTCTCACTTAACAAACCCGATTATATGAACTAAATCATCCATGAACGGCCACATTGAGTATTGATAGCATTTTCTGTTCCCAAAACGTCTTGTATGAGGTAGTTAAGGCATAAATATTAAAGATTCTTTTAGCATGATACAATGTGTGTTCAGAGATGGATGACATTTAGGCGTGCATGTGTAAAGTTATTTAGTATGCAGAGCATTTAGAGGCTGAAAAAAGTTTAGGCCTTGAATTAAACTAGATTCAGATGCGGATAAGGTGTCTGAGCAATCACTGGATCCATCTTGTACCTCTGGAATGTAATAAGTACCTCATACAAGACGGGTATAGAGGCACATTATAAAAGTATGAAGGTGGTGTGAGAGGGAGACGCAGAAAGTTAGGTGCAGCGCGCCAACATTACCCTGGTCGTAACTCCGCCATTTATGTGCCTCTGTCGAAAGAGCGCGCTCTTGTCAAGTTGTGGCTGGGTGGGTATACGCGGCCGCCCTCCCCTTTATGTTGCTCTATTGGGCCACGTAACGTGTCCACCACCCTGGCCCGCCCCCACCCACGCCTCCTCCTGCCACGCCCGCGCCACCACAGCGCTGGCTACACACCCCCCACATTAAGTAAGGCACATGTTGCCCTACCTCTATACCATTTCACGGAGAGCAACGTGCATACGCACCTGAGCAACACCCCTATTTTATTTATCTTTCTCGTTTATTAACCAAGTTCTCTTATAATTTCATTTCTGGTATATGAATATATTCTATAAATCAGCTCGTAGTAATTGTTAAGTGCTTTATTTAACTTAAGAGGCGTGTTTACGAGTGATTTTAGAGTAAACTGGAGTGTCAGCCATGTGCCTCCATAACTTATGGTTTACTGTAGAGAAATCGGATGGTTTTCCTCGCTATTCGCGGGGGTTACGCGAACCTTGTGTGTGTGGGGAGGGGGGAGTAGCTCCTGGCCCCGCCTCTCAATTTCCTACTTGCCAGATTCACTCCCTCGTTGCTACGTAGGGATTTATCGTACCTGCTCGTACCTCTGGATTATTCATTCAACTCTGATAATGAATATTTTCTGACATCCCTGTGTACTTTTTCCCGCCCTGTCAATTCACCTGAGTATTTTGTATGTTATTATCATGTCCCCTGGTCCATCTGTCCTCCAGGGTCATTAAATTAATTCCTATACCTTCTTTTTGTGAATTATTATGTGAGAAAATCACCTGCAGGGGGCTTACAGGGCCTTACCTGAATTATTTATTACAAGCAAGTAATTTGGATGAGATAAGTGGGATTTAAGTCACAACAGGTTGCTGAATTGTAACTCCCTCGATGCCCAACTTCACCGCTCACAAAAAGCTGATAGTTTACTTAAATCCCCATTTTAGGGGTTAAAGAATCTTCGATTGGTGTACAGGTTGGGTTTGTTGGTTAATGGGGCTTTAAAGCCTATCTACTACACGAGAGTCATTAAGGCTGCATGTCACTTGTTCATCACAAGAATAATTTAATCCCTAGAATAGGGATTAAAGTAAACTCTCAGTATATATACGCTTAATGTATATCCTGTAGCATATAGATTACCTGCAGCCCCAGTGACCCTCGAGTAATTAGTGTTGTCACGTTACGTCATCATTTTCCATGTAGACCGTGCTGGTAATCTTTTTAACTGTTAATTTTTCTGTTTTAATATTTGCTGTTGAACAAAGCCCAAAAACTTGCCTTTGTCATGACCAGGAATTTATCATTGATGGTCCTACTAGATCTAGCAGTAAGTAGGTCCCTGGGTGTTAGTTGACTGGTGTGGGTGGCATCCTGGGATACAAGATAAAAGGAGCACACTTGTGGAATTTTTTTTACATAATTTCCTAAATGTAGAACATATAAATGAATAATATAATAACTGTATTAAGATGTGATGCTATTTGGACCCTTCGAGAAATTTTGAGTGAAGGGGGGGGATGCAGAACAGCCGGTGAGTGAAGCAACGTAGAGACGCCAAAATTTTAATTGTAATATCTGGATTTAATTGATAACACTGTAATCAGGCATTTCGAGGTCCAGTTGGTTATTATGCCCTCAATTCTGTAATTTAGTATCCACATTCTATGCCACCTGTGTGACCAGATGGCTCTAATCTTCAGACGGCGTCGGATTCGCAAGCAGTGTTTTCCGGACAGCGTCGTGCCGGGGCAATTTAACTATCACTAGCATTTTTATGCTGACTGTATGCCATTCTTGCAGCACCTTCGTATCATCTATGTGTGTCATCATTGAGTAGGTCTAGACCCTTAGGCACGGGCCCGGTTGCCTGTGTGAAGCCCGCTTCTGTCAACGGAGGGCCAGGTTTCGAATGTCCGGCGGGATGGAAACATTCGACACGTTCCTTAACCTGTTGTCTGTTCACACTAGCAGCAATAGGTCCTGGCGTGTGTCGACTGGTGGCGCTAATCTGGGGGCAAGATTAAGGCACCCAATGGAAATACAGTTAGACGTGCTCGATTCTCGACGCATACCTGACATGCTTCTTGGCCGTTATCCTGGTGCTAACATCCGGGTTATAATCAACCCTAGCAAACTTCATTTAACATCTCATCCCCTAGTTCTCCTATCCAACTTGGCTACGCCGTATCTCTACCAAAATAAAGATATTGTTTTTTGTTGGGTCCCTGGTCATGTCGACGTACAGGGCAATGAACAGACAGACACTGCTGCGCGGTCAGCAGTACATGACCTACCAATTTCCTATCGAGGTGTTCCATTTCTGGACTATTTTGCTGCAATAGCTACCCACCTTCGCACCCATTGGCAGCAACGTTGGTCAACTCTGCTCTGTAACAAACTTCATTCTATTAAACCGAGCATAGGTTACTGGCCGTCTTCTTGTCATCAGTGCCGAGGTTGGGAGACCACTCTCTCCTGCCTTCACATTGGCCACACTCGTCTTACTCATGGGTATCTCATGGAGAGGCACCCTGTTCCTCTCTGTGAGCAGTGTCAAGTTCCAGTATCGATTAGCCACATTCTGTTATACTGCCATGTCTATCAACGAGCACGCAGAATTTACCTCCAACGTCGTCTTCGTTCTACTACTCTCTCTCTTTACCTTCCCTTCTTGCTGATGGACCCTCCTTTAATCCTGACTCTCTCATTGACTTCTTGACAATGACTGATTTACTCCACAAACTCTGATGATACTTTTCGCACTCCCCTCAGCCCTTTCTAGTTCAGTCTCTTGCTGCCCTTTACCCTTTCACCATCCACTACCCCGCTGTTATCTGTAACCTATTACTCATCCATCTCCCTTTTGCCACCTGATGCCCTCGCTTCCTTCCTGCCCTGCAGCGCTGTATAGTCCTTGTGGCTTAGCGCTTCTTTTTGATTATAATAATATAATGTAATTTAGTAATTACTAACACATTCCTGCTGAAGAATTGGGATAAATAGTATGGGAAAACCTTTATAATTCAGGAACAAGGACAGAAAAACAGAGGACACCATTTGTAATTTGTGAACACGATGTTGCAGAAAATTCAGTAATAATCCGGTGTCTTTGTGGCCAAATGCTGTATAGCCCTTGTGGCTTAGCGCTTCTTTTTTGATTATAATAATAATTTGTGGCCAAATTGGGTTTTTCGGCCAGAATTTGTAATTAGGAGCCCATGTTAATGGTCCTTGCTGAATAATTGGGACAGGAAATTTGCGAGACCTCAATAATTACATGCGGATGGCAGAAGATAAGGGATACAAACATCACAGGGAAAAGCACCATTAGTCCTTGCATTTAGATCTCTAGCAAGTCAGTGTAGGGTCTAGGTGTTAGGCAGGTGTTGTGGTGTGATCCAGCTACAGTAATCATATACAGTCATATACGTCCATAATTTTAATTTACCAATGTAGCTGGTTTTAATATTGTAATTATTAATTTAATATTAGATCTATTTTTGAGATTCGATAGGGGCTGGTTCTTTGAGACTGGTGAAGTGGGCATCGAGGGAGTGACAGTTTGGCGACCTACTGTGACTAAGTCCCACATATGTCACCCAAATTACTTGCAGGAAATAATGCAGGTGATACCATGTAAACCTCCTGCAGGTAATTTACTCACAGAATAATAATTTCACAACAATGGAAAAAGACAGACAGTCTTTGATGACACACTGGCTCTCTTGGGTTATTCTGAGTGGCTAACCCTTTCTACCCCGGGTTTAAAGTACCAACAAATCTTATCTAAAAAAAATTTCCACATTAAGTCTCTGCACGTGGTTTTGTTTAGAAATCGCGTATAACCAATATTGACGTCAGTGAAAATTCTATGTAATAAATATAACTATTCTGGTCACTGGATGAATCAAGAAAGGTATTAGTGCATCCAATAACTCCAGTTCTGTGCCTCAGTGTACGCGATTGTAGTAGTGCAGAGTGTTGCATACGTTGATAATGTTAAATTTAAGATTTGAAGGGAATCGGAGGAGGCATTCACAGATGTTGCAATATTAAGGTGTCTCGTAGCACGATTTTAACGCACTCAGCTCACACGTGGAGGTCTGTGGTTCGATCCCCGGTACGGGTGGAAACATTAGGATGTGTTTTCTTAAGACACTTGCTGTCCATGTTTACCTGTCAATAAGTAGATACCTGGGTGTTAGTCGACTGGTGTAGGTTGCATCCTGGGGATAAAATTGACCTAATTTGCGGGAAATGCTCTGCATAACAAGCGGCTTTCTATATAGTAGTATGTCATTAATGTCAGCTAGGCCTGTTACCTGGTACATGTACTTGTAGAAATAAAGATTATTATTATTACAGTGCTCGAGTATTGAAGTTTTGAAGCCGATCGGACGAGGGATTCTCGAGTTATGAGCGAAATAAAATAGAAAACTTGGTGGCTAAAAACCTAATACCAATAAGCTTTATCTCGACAAAAATACAGTACGTATATATATTATTATAATAAAAAAAGCGCTAAACCTACAAGTGTCATACAGCGACAGTATATACTATATATGATAGAGGAATAGTTGACATTGGCATATTTTATGGAGGGGTTAAATACCCGAAATTTCTGTTATGAAACCACAGAACCCAACCATCATTCATTGAATACTTCCTCATCTATGTAAATCTTTTTAGTATTAAGTAGTCGTTTCCTAATTTAGGCCAATTCGAAATATTGTACATCAAGTAGACTTTTCAGAATCTTATATTGGTGTATAACAAAAGTTTAAGAATTTCGAATGAGAGGGCGTGTGTGTGTGTTTGGTGGTCCACAACAGTTGTTGTGTCCTGGTCATAATGGCTGGTGTTAGTGGCCAGGGTCTACGGGAGGTTAGTTTTATGGCCAGGGTCTACGGGAGGTTAGTTTTATGGCCTTGACAACTTTGTTGTTGAAGCACATTAAGCAAGATGATGAATGAGGCAGGATGTGTGGCCTTGTGTCTGGCCATGTGTCTTGTGTCTGGCCATGTGTCTTGTGTCTGGCCATGTGTCGTCCCTGACCATGGCATTCTCTGGTTCTTGAATTAAGTAAATATGTTTATTCATGTATACACAAATACAGTTACATAGATTATCACACATAACATGTGTACAGAACCTGGGATAACCCAAAAAAGTCAGACAGTGACTTATTTTCTTTGAGGTCCTTTATGTTCTCTCAGTTCTCTGATTATTGCGTTGTTTTATGCCTTTACTCTGGTGTCTGTTATGCATTTCATGTTCAGAGGGATTGTGCCTTTTTTTTCAGTGTCATTACATTATTATATAATGTCGCCTTGATAATTGTATGGTAATTATGCATACGTGTACATAAATAAACTTACTAAAGACACTTGTGCAACATCTGTGGTTCATCAGAACCCAGGTGTTTTACCCTCCTTCAACGGGAATCATAAATTTTGGGCATTCTCTTGTCCCATGTGGTGTCTGGCCATCGTCCCACCATACCTTTAACTATTTTTATCAGGTTACCAAATAGTTTGACATAGATTTACACATAGTTAAGATTATAAAAAAATAACATAATTTTTTTTAGGTCTTCAGTCAGTCCTGTTTGCAGCTTTACTTGTGGAAACATGTAAGTGTTTTTTTGACAAGGTCATTACATTATTTATTAATGTTTCGCTTCGATAATTTATTAAATGCCGATTACACAATAAACCCAAGACACGTCAATGTGGTTCATCAGAGGACTGCTTCAACATATTTTTGGGATTTCCTTAATTTGGTCGCGCCAGATGCACCCATACTACCAGTTTTCAGCTCTCCAGGTACTTTTGATCCTATGGGAAAAGCGCAACATTAAGAAATTAAAATATAGTTCTCAGCCGCCCGGGTCGAACCGGGCCTGTTGGAAGCCGGGTAGTTTTTAGCCACACACAGTACAACTACCATACATATTGTAAATTACCCAGGATAACCAAAAAATTAGTCCATAACTTAGGCCCCTCCATTTTCGCTTTGGTTTTGTATGTTTACCAGTGTGCCTGTAAGGATTAAATTTATTTAGGTACAGATACATACAAGTACAGTTACCATACATAGTTTAATGTGTAAATTACCTAGGGTAATCTCCCCCCCCCCCCAAAAAAAAAGTCAATGTGACTTACGTATTTCCATTAGGAATTTTTAGGAGTCATTTTTAGGAGTCTTTTGACATTAACAATTTAAGGGGATTTTTAACCAGTGCTGGTTATTTTGACTTTGTATTGTATTATTCATAGTAATTTTTTATTGCTTGTTTTAGTGCTTTATTTGATACTATTAATAATAATAACAATAATTTATTGCTTGTTGTGTCATATTTTTTGTTTTTTATTGACAAGAGTGTTGGATGGTCTACAACCTGCATTCAAATTCAAAATTTTTATTTCTTTGCAAAGGTTACAATGTGTTATTAATTTTATTTAAGTTTTATCACATACATAACACTACACATTCATAAGCAGAGCATTCATGGAAATTCCGTCTAGTTTGTAAAAATGCCTACAATGTTAATCCGTATTTTCAGTGCTTCCGCCCTAATATATCTCTTATTTACCCTATCTCATCTAGTAATAAATAATGATGGGGTTCTTAAACAATTAAGCCATTAGTATTAATTAAACATTAAGGTTACCGTTAGAATGTACAAATTCTAACTAATACACACTGCATATTCCAACACTTGAATTTCTTACATTTAAGCTTAAAAAAAATATACTATTATACCTACCAAGCATAACTTGATTATTTAGACCCTAAATCTCTTGCAAAGCAATGAATTTTGACCATAACCCGCTGGACAGTCATTTGATTTCCAAATTCATTCACACATTCAAAAACTCATGCACATAAAAGGCCCTAATAATTGGAATTCATTACGTAAATTTAAAAGAAACATACCTGATTATAAATTCAAGTCTCTTCTCAAAGATCACTTACTCACCCAAAACCAAATAAATACTGAATAATTGAACCTTATAATTGTATACTTAAATGTTTCTCACAATTATATCACATAAATTGTTAAACCTAAAACCGAATCTAACTTTATTATTTTTTAAATACTCTACCTAACAGAATACTCCATACGACTGAATGTACAACAATGCATGCAACCATATGACCTGTCTTTGTAATACTCACTTGTGCTTTATATAATCTGTTTACATTAATGTTTATACATAATTTCTTTCTTGCTTGTTAATTTAGTTAATTTTAATGCAGCCGAATGCTATGCAGTATAATGGTTTGGCAACTGCATCTTATCTGTATTTTTTTGTACCTCTGTATGTGTGCACAAATAGAAATAAATAAATAAAGTTGTTAGTACACATTAAGCACTAACATTCATAAGCATGTTGAGCATTACATGGTCAGGGCTCTCTTCAGTTTGTAAAAACTGCCTACATGTTATATCTCATGTAGGTTTAGTGCTTCCCCCCAAATAATAATAATTTATAATAATTAATAATATTAGTAATAAATAATAGATGGGTATGTATTTTAGGAAAGGTAAGCTAGGTTTATTCAAGAATATGGTAGTTTAACCCTTAAACTGTCTAAACGTAGATCTACATTTACACGTGTAGTGCTCCGACCTTGATTTTTTACATTTGAAAGCGTGTAAAAAAAAGTAGAGCTATGTTCGGAGCACTACGCAAGCGAACGTTGATCTACGTTTGGACAGTTGAGGGGTTAAAGCATATGTTTTTGACCCTATACCCGTCTTGTGGATTTAGTACATTCAGATTTACAAATTCACATTTCAACATTTTTGACATTGGTCTAAATGAAGCACATTATTACTATAGGCATTCAGTAGTGATAATTTATGATGACTAACCAAGAACAGCCCAGCATAGCAAAGATACATAACTAATCTCCAGCCTTGCTGCTCATCTCAGAGCAAAACAACAGTAAAAAAAATATTGTACAGTAGTAGCAAACCACAGATTAAGACAACCTGTGATAAAATAATAATAATAATAATATTTATTTCTACAAGTACGTACATGTACAATGCATACAGGCCTAGATGACATCAGTGACATTCTACTATATAGAAAGTCCCTTGTTATGCAGAGCATTTCAGGGAAGTTAGGTCAGTTTTGTCCTCAGGATGCAACCAGCACCAGTTGAATAATGCCAAGGTACCTACTTACTGCTAGGTGAACATGGACAGCAGGTGTCTTAAAACACGTCCTAATGTTTCCACCCGTACTGGGGTTTGAGTCATGGACCTCACTGTGAGCCGAGTGTGCTAGCAATTGAGCTACAGGACAACAATAAAAAATATGAATAACTAAAGTGTAATGAATACTTGTCAGTGTTCAGTTATAACCCACAGGGAGACAAAAACTCGGAAAATAAATTGAACTGTATATTTCGATCCCCTTCTGAGGCCTTCTTCTGCTGAAGAGGATCCCAGAAGGGGATGGAAATATACAGATCAGTTTATCTCTTGAGTTTCTCTCTCCCTGTGGGTTATTATTGAGCAATGAAAAATATGTAAAATATAACTCCATAAAAAATAAAACATTGTAATTGTAACAAATTTTTATCTCTTTGATAGATTTCATAATACTGGTGAAGGGCTCTTGCTCCAAGAAATTAGAGCTGCCTTTTTCTTCCTTAGATTGATTGTCTCTTTCCTCAAATGTACGAACCCCCTACGGGTTGAGTTCTTGCCCACGAATATGATATGAATTTTTACCGTTTTCACAAATCTGGTAGCTAGTTGGGCAGTAAGACCACATATCCACGAACCATAATTATAAACATTAAGAGTATATCGGTGGAAAATTGTGCAAATTTAACATAGGATAGCCCAACACAGTCAAACAGGAGCTACAGCTTCTGGACCTACTCCATGTTTATATAGAGAAGTTGAACTGCAGTTGCTAAACCCCATAGCTCAGTGATTAACATTCTTGGCTCATACTTCAAAGGATGTGAGATGTATGGGCAAGTACGGCAGCACCTGCTGCCAGTTACCTTGCAATAAATAGATGCTTTGTCCTCAACAACACCTGATGTCGAGCTCATTCCTGCATCTATTTGTGTATTTGCTGGCTTGTGGTGTTGTGATGCTGAATGTCATGTTTGTATATTTGCAATGGTTGATCTATTCTTCTTTATGGGTTCTGGTGGTGATGGCCAATTCTGGTGGCATTAGTTTATTTAGACACAGGTACACATACGTACAATTATCATACATAGTGTAAATTCCCTAGGATAACCCCAAAAAGTCAAAGTAACTTATTTCTATTGGGGTCCTTGGTGATGGTTGGCTCTGGTTACAGTTGATTCTGGTGGTGATGGATTCTGGTGATAGGTTTGGTTATGTTTTCTTGTTTGCAATAAGTGCTGCTATATTCTTTTAATTATACCACAAGATGGATACATGAGGAATTATGCATTTTTTAGGCCTAGCTATATTGCTCACTGAATATATGATAGTTTAAACATATTATCAGGCTTTTATATACATTTGAAAGTGAACAAAGGCTATGAGTCACTTTACAGCAATTTTTGCTTTACAGCAGTAGCCTGGAACCAAACCTGATTTTTTAAGGTTATAAGCCGAGCCCTCCTGTACCTGGGTGTTAATCGACTATTGTGAGTCACATCCTGGGGAGTCAAGACTAACTTAAGTTGCCTGAAAGGTTCTACATCACCAGGATCTTTCTATAAAGTATGCCAATAATGTCAGCTAGGTCTGTATCATTTGTATCTTGTCCTCTAGAAATAAAGATTATTATTATCCTGCATGACCCTTGTTGGTTTAGTGCTTTATCTGATTAATATTATTATTACTATGACAATTTGCTGGGGTGTTAAGTAGG